TCCTTAACAAATGGACAGCAATGGGGTTAGGAGGCCCAGGAAGTATCAGCCTCTGTAGGGTCACACAGTTGGTGGCAGAACAAGCCAAGAGCCCAGGCTGACTGATCCCAGCCTAGGATTCAACACAGCATAGGGTACCAAGGGCACATATAAGCTTAATAGTCAAGACAGTCTGATCTCTTGTGGTCTACATGTTAGCTGTATGACTTTGAGCAAGTTGTTTTTTCTCTCTAAATTTCAATTTCCTCTTTTCAAAAGTAAGGCATCACAACACTTATCCTACAAAATTGTTGGGATTAAATAAGATAGTATATGTAAAAGAAAAATTCCCAAGTGTTAGGTCATATAATATAAACTGTTCAGTTGTGTTTTGCTTAAAAGGCAGCAGACCTAAGCACCTCTTTCATGATAGAAAAGCACAACTGGCAAAATCAGGAAATAATTTACTTGATATTTCAAATGAACAAATGATTGGCCTTTTGCAACAGGTATTTCACTGATCTCTTGTTCACAGGTCATTGAAGATAATAAAGGAAACTATACTTGCTTTTCATAGGTATGGTCAGTTTTTACAAGCTTAGTATTTGGTGTCTACTTGCCATTTTTTTTATTTTTTAGATGGCATCTACAGTACAAATAACTCTCATAAGCACCTGTAAGATATATTAAGCCTTTCTTCAAAGAGCTTTATAATACTGTTAGGAAAATATGACCAAAAAAAAAAACCTAGAACAAGGTGAACTGGGTGGGTAGATATTTGAATGGATACACAGATGAATGGATGGATGATGGATGGATGGATGGATGGGGAGTTCCTTTGTCTGTTTAACTGGTTTATAGCCTTTCCAGAGGAATGCAGTCTTAAAGTAATCTTCTCTCCTCTGCTTTTTGGTTAAGTCCCTGGATTATGAGATACTGTCTGTAGCTTTATAGTTCTGAGTAAGTAGAGAGCAGCAGCAGATTTTCAAGAGCTACTTAGAGCAAAAACTAATGATATCTGGTTAAAGATCAAATGTAAAGATAAGAAAAACTATTTTTAGAGTAGTTAAAACCTGGCCTAAGGAAACATCTAGAGAAATACATTCCAAGAAATTATTTCTTCTCACTCAAGCAAAAGCTGTCCTGTGCAGGAAGTAAACTATAAAATACTCACTTCTGCATTTCTGAAATTCATCTGTTTGCTAAATGAAGTATTACCTGCACCCTCCATAAGGTACCAAAAAGGAAAGCAGAGAAATAACCATTGTTGAATGCTTACCATGGATCGAGTACTGTGCTGTAGGGTTTTTATGGTGAAATCTTCATTTTTAAAAGATCCTGTGAGGTTAGTATTATCCACTCCATTTTTCAAATGAGGAAGCAGACTCAGAGAACTTGAGTAACTGGCCAAAACCATTCAGTGACTATCTGGTAGAGCTGGTTCAAATCCAGCTACACTAGTGAAGACAAAGATTAAAATTATGTACTTTTACTTCTGAAGGTGATATCAGAAGTTAGTCATTTGCCACTTCCTCTTTCCCCTAAAAACAACTTAATAGAAATGAAAATATATCTAGGGCCCTTTGGTGACCAGATATAACTGAGAATGACCAGTCACGGTAGCCTGCTTTTTTTTTTTTTTGGAGTAACTAATAGTTATTGAAGATTACAATTGTACAATATGGAGAAGTATAGAACGAAATACAATTATTGGGGAACAGTTGCTCTACAATATTGTGTTGGCCTCTGCCACACACCAACGTGAATCAGCCACAGGTATGTATAGGTCTCCTCCCTCCTGAACCCCACTCCCATCTCCCACGCCATCCTACCCCTCTAGATTGTCACAGAACACTGGGTTGAGCTCCCTGTTTGACACAGCAAATTCTTTTGCTGTCTATTTTACATATGGTAACATATATGTTTCCATGCTACTCTCAATTTGTCCCACTCTCTCCTTCCCACATGGTGTCCACAAGTCTGTTCTATTTTTCTGCATCTCCATTATTTTTCAGAGTTGTTGGCGGCAGTGCAGGATGTTCAAGACAGCTTGCCCAGTGCCACGCTGTTGATGACCACTCCATTATGGATATATAAGCAAATCTTCAGGAAGACCCTTGGCCATGTGCAAGTGTGTTGGAGAAGCCAGGCTTTTATTTCTTCATCTGGCATAAAAGAACCCTTCCTAACCTCCCCAGGAGGACCCTGGGAGGGTTTGGATGGGTGGGTAGCAAACGAATTGTTTCACCGGTGGTCACCACAGGAGGTCAAGACTGGGCTGGCACTGTTTTCAATAACAGCCATTGTGATCGTGGTCCAAAGTCTGGCAGAAACTTTTTATATGTTTGCTTTCATTTTGTTGTTAGGCACCTGGAATGCCAAGGGCAGTTCTGTGCCAAACCACAAGAAGAATGAAAGCCCAGGACTTCCCTCGGGTCACCAGCTTCCTTCAGCTTGGGGCAAGAGTAAAATCTGCCCGAAGGTAGAAGTTTGGGAATTTCCCATTGGCTCACATTTCAAACAAGCTTGTACTTAATCCTCAGAGCTCAGAGTGAGCAGGGGTGAGTTCAAGAGACACAGGAACAGTGCACTCTGCTGAGAAACACACTAGCAACCACCTGGCTTCCAGTAAGTACTGCTTGACGTGATAAGTGATGAGTCTGGGTTTTCAAGGCTCTGCTAATCTGGGCTGTCGTGACTCTTTCTTCATAACCTTCTTGGGCTGTACCATCAGGGGGAAATAAGACCTCTTGGGATCACACTCATCAGATTTAATTATAATGAACAGGTTAGGCAACAAGACTGGGTTGAGTCTCCTGAATAAGATCAAAGAGCTAAATCTGAAAAGGTTTTTTGTTTGGGGGCAATGACAAGAAATAAAAGCTGAACTATGAACAGATTTAATTCTTTTTTCTCAGATAAAAGGAAGGGCAAAGTAGTTCAGACACCAGCTCTCAAGTTAGGATTCTGACTCTGCTTTTTCTTAGTTATGTGATCAAAAGCAAACTACTTAATCTCTCTGGTAACAGTTTCCTAGTCTGTAAAATGGATATCATATCACTGTAAAAATAATGAAAACTTTATAGTATTGTTGTATCTTATTGTTATGTTATGTTGAATCTCATTAGATTTCATGTATGTGATAGATAATATTAAAGTCTTGCTTATGTTATTTAAGCAGAGTTTCATATATGTGATAGATAATATTAATATTAAAGTTTTTCTTATATAAGCAGAGTTTATATAATAGATTTCATGTTTTCATGTGCATGTAATCATAAATTTCATATATATGTATACATATACTGGATTTCATAAAAATAATTTGAATTTGATATACAGAAATTAAATTGCATATATATAATATGCAATATATGTTATATGAAATCCAGATATGTATACATATATATGAAATCCACTGATATATATAAACATATAAAATCTATTTTACAGGTTTTGCTTAGAAGTGCTTGGAATGTATTAAACACTTAGTACATGCCAGTCATTAAGAAGCAATCATAGACTCTCTGACCTGGACATGACCTAACAAGCAGCACTTGTAAAGCACCTATAAATTACTGAATACTCTTTGCCAGATTATATCAAGTAATACTGATAAATCCTATGAGGGTGGTGATATTATCACTTCCATTTTTTAGATGAAGAAACAGGGGTGTAGAGAGGTTAATATGTACATATGTACACACATGTAATATACATACATATAGTATACTATGTGTGTATGTATATAGAGAGAGTATAGTATATACTATGTCGTATATAGGATTCCCCGGTTGTTCAGCTGGTAAAGAATGAGTCTGCCAATGGAGGATACACAAGAGACATGGGTCTGATCCCTGGGTCAGGAAGATCCCCTGGAGGAGGAAATGGCACCCCACTCCAATATTCTTGCCTGGAAAATTCCATGGACAGAGGAGCCTGATTGGTTACAGTCCATGGGGTCGCAAAAGAGTCAGACATGACTGAGAACACATGCGCACAGCAAGCCACATAGAGAGATGGGAAGGGACAAAATGCTTTTCAAACACTTCCGTCCTTCACCCGTGAGTTATCTAATGAATAATTGTGTGTGCGATATGAACATGTATCTTTCAAGAATTTCTATGAGTCACTTATATCATTTATAGCCTGGGAGGAATGAGAGTTTATGCTGGAGAAAGGGAGCACTCAGGAGAGGAGGAATGAGCTCATGCCACCCGGACAATATAGGATCCTTTGGCTCCTCCCATTTACTGGGATGACCCTGACATTGCCCTGTTCAGTGCTTCCTCCTATGTGAGTCCTATGAACTCAAGGTAAAAATTTGATTCCTGATTTAAAGATCACACCTGCCCCTTGGGCTTTCATCCTGTGGGACCCCTCTATGCGTAGGGCCTCATATCAGTCACAGGATTGCCAGCAGATCTGTGCAGGAAAGGACTTGACCTCTAGAGTCAGTCTGAGCACATCAGCCTGAGCTCCAAGGGCTGGACAGCCTTGGGAACAGCCCTCTCGGGTGGCAGAGGCAGTTTAAGGACAGGGGTGTGCGCCGGTCCTTGCTCTCGGGTTTCCCTCTAGAGAAAATGTGTTCCTGGCACAGAGAAGAGCTTATCGTGGGCTTCCTTGTGTTCAGGAATGCTTTATCCGCTGCATTTGGTCCATAGCATCCTGCCCTCTGCCCTGTTCTTGTCTCCCTTGTTTGGTGTTTCTGTCTCCAGGGCTCTCTTGTCAGAGCCACTTAAGAAGCAGAAACGGAGAAAGTCCAGGGAAGATGCTCCCTCAGTCACCCAGCAACACTTCCACAGAACTGCTACTTGGTGAGCACAGGCTGCTGGTCCTCGTTACCATGACTGCTATCAGCCTCAAGGGCAGGACGGGAAGCGGGGCTGATAACCGGTCTCACCAACAATCGAGAGCGCCATTCTGGCTCTTGGTGATTGAGTGGCTATCAGTGAAGCATACTGTCATTTGGGGACTAACACTTAGTCCTTCTTTTTGGCAGGTGAGAACAGACAGCCATAATGGAGCGCAAACCTCAGAAGAGTTCAGGTACCCAAGGGGCATACTCTCAGAAGGAAAAACCTTTTTATTGGAAGTGATGATCAATTCCCATAAAAGTAGCCAAGATACAGAAGATGGTTTTAGTAAGGATAATGGGTGGCATTCTAGGGTAATGATTGTTGATGCAGAGAATGTAGCAGAGATGCAGAGACTGTTAGATTTGGTTAATCATTTTGTAAGAGCTCACTTATCTAGAACTTTGGCATTTTCCAACTTTTATGGATCAAATGTTTTATGGAGATGGTATTGATACTAACAGCACACTATAGCCCTGAGAAGACTGGAAAATATTTTCTTAATTTTATAGGAAACTCTCACTTGGACAGAAACTGCCTAAATTGTTACCAAAGTTTATTATGGGGATAGATTAAGGGGCAACATTCAGATGTTCTTGCTTCATGCTCATATGCCTCACCATGTAAATGACTCACCAGAAGCATCACATTTAGGATGAAGTAACTTAGAAATCAAACTATCCAATTCAATTCAAAGATAAATATTAATGAATAATTATTCAAAGCACCTATTATTAGTAAGTTACGGTACTTCCTATTGCAGAAGGATGTACAACCTAATTAGTAAGAGTCTTTGCTCTCAATGAGCTTGTAATTTCATTCGGAAGTTAAGATAAACACATCTGAGTAGCTATACTAGGAAGTTAAGATAAGCACATACAATCAAGATCAGGTTATGACACGTAAGAGCAAAATGCTGTAAAGTTTGAAGAAAAAGGAAAAAAAAAGCCACACACATCATTGTGGCAATCCAAAGAGGTTTTATGGAGAAGGCATTTGAACTGGACCTGAAATGATCCAACTGAGTTTCAGAAGAGATTGGGAAAGAAAGCACATCTCAGTAGAAAGGGATGGTGTGACCAAAAGCAAAGAGTATGTTAGAGGCAGGTTGTGTTCAAGGAGAATATGGCTATAAAATAGGACAGGAGAGAATAGATTGGTGCCAGGAATTTACGTCTTAGAACCCTGGCAACCCTTGAAGAATTTCAAGCTCAGAAAAGGTATCATCAAATATGCTTTTGGGATTGCTCATATTTTGAGAAAAATAGCTTTATTGTGGTGTAACTGACATAAAATCAACTGCACATATTTAAAATTATTTGTGTGTATGTGCCTTGGAAATGATCACCACAGCAAAAGCGTAAGCACCTGCATCACTCCCAATAATCTTCTTGTGCCTGTTTATAATCCTTCCCTCCAGTAACCAATCCTACTCCCCACAGTTCTGCTTTCTCTCATTCTAAGTTCATTTGTACTTACTAGAGCTTTGCACAAATGGAATCTTACTGAATGAATTCTTTGGTTTCTTTCACTCAACTTAATTCTTTTGTGATTCACCTATGTTGTTACATATATGAAGTTTTTGTCTAGACAGTCAATTGAATTTTTATGTTTTGAATAGTAAGAAAAAAATTCCACATGTTTATCCTTGCCATTACCACTTCAGCATTCATCAATCACTTGTATAAATTCAGATTTCCATCTGGTGTCATTTTTTCAGCTGAAAGATTTCCTTTAGCGTATCTTATAAAGCAATCCTCCTAATTCTTTCAACTTCTGTATGTCTGAATATGTCTTGAAACTGCCTTCATTTCTGAAAGATATGTTTGCTGCATATAAAATTCTAAAATGACCTATTCTTCTTTCAATAGTTTAAGCATCTTGTTTCACTGGTTTTTGTTATTACTGTTGTTTGCTTGCATTGTTTCTGATGATAAATCTAATGTCATCTGTATTTTTTTTCTCTATGCATTAATGTCTTTTCTCCTCCTCTGATGGTTTTTAAGATTTTTCTTTATCACTGATTTTGAGCAATTTGATATGATGTTTCTTATCAGTTTTCTTCATATATTTTGTGTTTAGAGTTCCTGAGCTGCTTATATTTCTGAGACAGTTTTCTTTAAATTTGTGGAAATCTCAGCATTATTTCTTCAAATATTTTTTCTGTCTCTCTCCCCCCCTTCAGGGACTCCAGTTACTTAAAATTGTTGTTGTTATGCAGTTGTTGAGTCTGATTCTTTTCAGCCTCATGGACCGCAGCACACCAGGCTTCTCTGTTCTCCACACTCTCCTGAAGTTTGCTCAAATTATGTCCATCAAGTCAGGTCACTTGAAATTGTCCCACAGTGCACTGGTGCTTTTTTTTAATGTTTGGGTGTTTTGTTTTGTTTTGTTTTGTTTTTTGCTTTTCATTCTGTGTTTGTTTTGGTAGTCCTGTTAATCCCATCTGGTACTGTTGTTTTTCTGAGACATTATAGTTTTCATCTCTAGCTCACTTTGGATCTTTTCTATATCTTCTGTATATCTAATTTCTTGAATGTGCAAAATGCAATTAATAATGCTGGTTTTAATGAACTCCTCTATTAATTCTCACATCTGTGTTAGTTCTAGGTCTGGTTTGATGGATTGATGATTATCCACATTATGGATAATGCTTTCCTGCCTCTTTGCACAACTGGTAACTTTTGATTGGTTGCCAGATCTTGCAAATTTTTACCTTGTTGGGTACTGGATATTTTCGTATTCCTATGGGAAAAAATAGAAATCTTAATGACCCAGATAACTGTGATGATGCCATCACTCAGCTAGAGCCAGACATCCTGGAATGCGAAGTCAAGTGGGCCTTAGGAAGCATCACTACAAACAAAGCTAGTGGAGGTGAAGGAATTCCAGCTGAGCTATTTCAAATCCTAAAAGATGGTGGTGTGAAAGTGCTGCACTCAATATGCCAGCAAATTTGGAAAACTCAGCAGTGGCCGCAGGACTGGAAAAGGTCAGTTTTCATTCCAATCCCAAAGAAAGGCAATGCCAAAGAATGTTTCGGAAAAACATCTACTTCTGCCTTATTAACTACACTAAAGCCTTTGACTGTGTGGATCACAACAATTGCACCCGTTTCACATGTTAGCAAAGTAATGTCCAAAATTATCCAAGCCAGAGGAACCAGAGATCAAATTGCCAGCATCTGTTGGACCATAGAAAACCAGGGAGTTTTGGAAAAACATCTACTTCTGCTTTATTAACTACACTAACGCCTTTGACTGTGTGGATCGCAACAAACCGTGGAAAATTCTGAAAGAGATGGGGATACCAGACCACCTTATCTGCCTCCTGAGAAACTTGTGTCCCAGTCAAGAAGCAACAATTAGAACTGGACATGGAACAACGGACTGGTTCAAAATTGAGAAAGGAGTACGTCAAGGCTATATACTGTCACCCTACTTATTTAATTTCTATGCAGAGTACATCTTGTGAAATGCTGGGCTGGATGAAGCACAAGCTGGAATCAAGATTGCCAGGAGAGATATCAATTACCTCAGATATGCAGATGACACTACCCTTATGGCAGAAAGCAATGAGGAACTAAAGAGCCTCTTAATGAAAGTACAAGAGGAGAGTGAAAAGCTGGCTTAAAACTCAACATTCATAAAACCAAGATCATGGAATCCAGTCCCATCACTTCATGGCAAGTAGATGGGGAAACAATGGAAACTGAGAGACTTTATTTTCTTGGACTTCGAAATCACTGCAGATGGAGACTGCAGCCATGAAATTAAAAGAAGCTTGCTCCTTGGAAGAAAAGCTATGGCAAACCTAGACAGCGTATTAAAAAGCAGAGACATGACTTTGCCAACAAAGGTCCATCTACACAAAGCTGTGGTTTTTCCAGTAGACATGTATAGATGTGAGAGTTGGAGCATAAAAAAAGCTGAGTGCTGAAGAATTGATGCTTTTGAACTGTGGTGTTGGAGAAGACTCTTGAGAGTCCCTCAGACTGCAAGGAGATCAAACCAATCAATCCTAAAGGAAATCAGTCCTAAATATTCATTGCAAGGACTGATGCTGAAGCAAAGCTCCAATACTTTGGCCACCTGATGTGAAGAGCCAACTCATTAGAAAAGACCCTGCTGCTGAAAAGATTGAAGTCAGGAGGAGAAGGGGACAACAGAGGATGAGATGGTTGAATGGCATCACCGACTCAATGGACATGAGTTTGAGCAACCTCCAGGAGATGGTCAAGAACAGAGACACTTGGCGTGCTGAAGTCCATGGGGTCGCAAAGAATTAGACACGACTGAGCAACTGAACAAACAAAAAATAAACCTTGAGCTTTTTTTTTCTGGGATGCAGTTAAGTTTCTTGCAAACAATTCAATCCTTTTAAGACTTTCTTTTCTGATTTGCTAGATCTGGAGCAGTCCTCACTACTGAGGCAAGACTTTCCTGAGTACTCTTCCCAGAACTCCATAAATGATCGGTTTTGCTAGTTTGGCTGGAGGGAACAAGTACTTTCTCTGGCCCATCAGAACACTGGGCACTTTCCATCTGATTTTTTCTAGTGCTTCTTTATCTGGCCTTGAGAAATTTTCCCACACACATATACTAATAAATATTCTTGAATACTTGAAGGGGACCTTATTAATGTCTCTGGGATTCTCTCTCATGCAGCTCTTTGCTCTGTTTTGTGAGCTCAAGCTGCCTTGATCTCCCCGAACTCTCATCTTTGTTCCCCCAGTTCAGGGGTCCACCTGGTCCCACCTCAGTTCCCCTTTTCTGTGCCGTGGGCTGGAAACTCCATCAAGGAAATTGTGGGGTTCACCTAGTTTGTTTCCTATCTCTTAAAGGCCCGTTGACTTTTATTGCCTATGACCAGTGTCTTGAAAAACCACTTTTTTCAAGACACAACAAAATATTTTGTTTATTTTAAACAGGTAAGTAAATCCTATCACTACATCTTTGTCCAAAGTGTAAATTTGGTCAGATTTGGCATGGGTTGGGAAGACCCCCTGAAGTAGGAAATGGCAACCCACTCCAGTATTCTTGCCTGGAAAATCTCATGGACAGAGGAGCCTAGTGGGCTACAGTCCATGGGGTCACAAAGAATTGAACATGACTGAGCACAGGCACAAACGGATTCTTTAGTAAAGGCTATCTTTTACCAAACCCATGGATGAACTAGAATTTTAGCCTGGATGTAAAAGCAAAGTCAAAATCTTCTTTTCAAAATAAATTCTATTTTAGCAACATTAATTTTTTTCTAAATAATGAACGTAGTTCATACTTCTTGCAGACATTCTCAAAAAATATAGGAAAAATCAAAACTGTCTCTACATTTCAATCCTTACAGAGAAGTAATTAACAATTTGGAAATCTCTTATTTAATGACTTTGCCACCTTATTTTCCATAGCAGGTCATTTTGCTTTTGTTTGGTAAGTCAAAGGGCAAGGCAGAATTATCTGGCTGTGGCTGGTGCTTCAACAGAAATGGAGACAAATCTTCGTTCACATCTAGAGAGCCAATAGCCTCCTCCAGAGATGGGGAGCCAGACAGGTGTGAGCTGAATTAAAGAGCTTCTAAATGTCATCTGAATGAAGGTCCTAACAGTGGATGAATAAGAATCGCACACATGGTCCTGAGTTTTTTGTTCTTTTGGCCTATAATAGATGTTCTTTTCCATAACTGAATAATTTGAAGACCTTTCCAGAGGTAAACAGTGTTTTTCAATTGAATCAGTTCTTCTCAGAAATTTATAGAAAACAGACTGAGTCCTGTTCACTTTCTTTTACTAGGCAAACAATTTACATTCTATTATGAAAATGAAGTCTGCAAACAAGATTACTTTATTAAATCACCACCTCCTCAGCTTTTCTTCTCTGCAGTAAGTATTCACAAAGATTTAACAGGCCTCCCACCAGCCTCATGAGCATTTTTTAAATCCTTTCTCTTCCTCTGAGATTTAACTGAGATGCAAAGTGTTTTCATTTTTCAGACCTCTTGGAAAAAGCGGTTTTTCATTCTGTCAAAGACTGGGGAAAAGGACTTTAGTCTTTCGTATTACAAAGACCATCATCATCGAGGTTCTATTGAAATTGACCAGTGCGTATCCGATCAAGAAAATATTGATAACAACAAATACTAACATGTTGCATGCAAATTAGAAAAGAATTAGCAAACGTTAATTTGTGGAACCAAGACTCTAACTGAAATATGAATTTTTCAGTTAAGTTTTAGGCTGAACAAAGTATTTTTAATCAGTGATAAACTAGATCTAAACTTATTTTCTTAAACTATTGGACAATTTTCAAAGCATTGATCAAACAGATCTAAAGTTTTATTCAGTTGGGATCTTAACAATTGAAACATATTAGTCAGTTTTCTTCCTAATTTTGTATTTGTATCTGTTTAATACTTTATATCTAATAGAAATTCCAGTGTAGAAGTTGGCATCAGGAGCCATGAAAAAATGCAGTCTGTACAGAAGATGTTTAAATGTCAGCCTGATGAAGTGATGTCCATCAAGACCACTAACAGAGAATATTTCCTCATTGGCTATGACAGGTAAGTAGTAAGATAACACGAAGTGTCTCCTGTATGCAGAATAAAAAAAAAAAAATTTTAAAACAATAAATATGCCTTGAATAGAAACCAACAGCCACAACCTTATAATCAGCTATGCATGCATGCATACTAAGTCGCTTCAGTCGTGTCTGACACTGTGCGACGCTATGGACTGTAGCCTGCCAGGCTCCTCTGTGCATGGGTTTCTCCAGGTAAGAATACTGGAGTGGGCTGCCATGCCCTCCTTCAGGGGGTCTTCCCGACCCAGGGATTGAATCCACGTCTCTTACATCTCCTGCATTGGCAGGCATGTTCTTTACCTCTAGTGCCACCTGGGAATACAAAACAAAAAGCCAAAAAAAAAAGGAAAGAAACTCATGACTACAACCTTATACACCATCTTGGCAGTCTTTTTCTTTTTCTTTTGTAGTTTGTTTAGGCTGTGCTGGGTCTTCGTTGCTGCACGGGCTTTTCTCTAGTTTCGGTCGACAGGGTCTCATTGCAGTGGCTTCTCTTGTTGAGGAACACGGGCTCTAGGGTGCGTGGGCTTCAGTAGTTGCCGTCCTGGGCTCTAGAGCACAGACTCATAGTTCTGGCAACGAGCTTAGTTGCTTCGTGGCATGTGGGATTTTCCTAGACCAGGAATCAAACCTGTCTCTTGTATTGGGAGGCAGACTCTTTACCAGTAAAGCCCCTTGGCATTCTTTATTATGACTTTAGTCCTTATTGTGCCCCTTGACACATCACAGTATTTGTTTCCTAGGGCTGCCATAACAATGTGTCATAAACTGGGTGGCTTAGAACAAAAGAAATTTGTTATCTCACTGTTCTAGAGGCTAGGAGCCTGATATTGAGGTGTTACGGGCCATGACAGTTCTAGAGGTTCTAGAGAAGATCTGTTCCAGGCCTCATTGCTAACTTCTGGTAGTTTTCTGGCCTGCGGCAGCAAACCTCTAGCTCTCCTATGGGGCTCTCCCTATGTGCACATCTCTGTGTCCAAATTTCTCCTTTTTATAAGAACACTAGTCATCTTGGATTAGTACGCCCGACTCCAGTCTGACCTCATCTTCACTAACTACATCTACGACAACCCGACCTGATTTCCAAATAAGGTCACATTCCGAGGTACTGAGGATTGGGATTTCAGTACATGAATTTAAGAGGGCACAGTTCAACCCATAACAATCACCATCACCTCAGAGACACTTTATGTGCAAGAACCCAATATACAAACGTCTGTGCAAGCTACATGTATTAGGGAGGAGCTGTGCCCATCCCTGAAGGAGTCTTCAGTTTTTAAGAAGGGTTTCTGGTGCTGGCAAAGACGCCTAATGGATCCTTTGTAGATGATTATCTGCTTGACAGAGAGGCTAAAGTCGGGGGAGGAAGGAGTATGGAGGAGGGAGGCAGCGAACGCTCAAGCCGGAGTATGAAGAAACTTGATCTGCTGTAGATCAACCCCAAGGCGAAAAGCTTTCTTTTCAACTGTCCTGAGAGTCAACAGAAAAGGAGGTGTGATTGATACACATTCGTTCAAACACATCCTTCATAAACACACGCATTCCCTAATGGAGGGACACCTGGGGAGCTACACAAAATGGCGCTGACAGATCAAGGGGCTGCTTAAGAACGCAAAAGAAATACATGTCAAAGCCAAAAGCTCCAAACCCTGTGATTATACTGTTACCTCCCACTTTTCTTCCCATTTCTCTGAGCTTTCCTCACAGAGGTGGCATGAAGGTTAATTCTAGTGTGTGAGTGTGGAGGTGGTGAGGAGCCGGGGATGGGCATTTAAACTACTCAGGGAAAAAGTCCTTATTTGCTTGGTACCTACCCCCACTGCCTGTTCCAATGTTCATAAAAGAATCATTCTCTGGTTCAGGAGGAGTGCAGGCCCCATTGTTGCCACATGCCAGCTGAACGTTTATTTCTTTCAACAGGGAGAAGATTAAAGACTGGGTCTCCTTCTTGTCATCACTATGCCGGCATGTGAAAGCAGCGCACCAGAATACGGAGGTGACTCCATATCACTAATAAAATCACAGCGCCCCTGAACACAGCCCTCTTTCCCAAGGGAACAATGCAAGCTTTTCTCCCCCGCTTGGCAACTGGCATTAACAAGGAATAAATAAGTGAGAAAGTGTACATCCTTGTAATTTTTATGATTAACAATAGAAAAAAATTCTTTTGTGTTTTACAAGAAAGCTAAAATACAGACACTTCAGATTTTCATTACTGGAGTAGGAGGGGTAAAATTTAATTGTGGCATTTTTTTAATAGTAGCTGAAATGACAGTATTTTCCATCATTGTTATTCAAAGTACATAACAGCTACCTTTGGAATGACTAAGTCCATGGTGGTTTCTATAGAAATGCATTTCACCTGTCTTGTATTTTCAATAGAATGTTTCTCTGATGTAAATGCTAGCAATTTTAAATTGCTTACTTGCTTCATAAGAACCTTTGCTAAATTTACCTAAGTCCTTTTTTAAGATAGGCTTCCCTTGTGTCTCAGCTGGTAAAGAATCCACCTGCAATGTGGGAGACATGGGTTCAATCCCTGGGTAGGGAAGATCCCCTGGAGAAGGGAAAGGCTACCCACTCCAGTATTCTGGCCTGGACTATACAGTCCATGGAGTCTCAAAGAGTCGGACACGACTGAGCGACTTTCACTTATTTCACTTTTCTTAAGACAGACCTTTATTAATGTAACTGGCCTCTAGGTACCATTTTGACATGGTTTCTAGGTTGTCCTATACTTACAACAAAAGCAGAGGCCAAGGAGAAAGGGAAAGCTAGGGCGTGTCTCAGATGATGAGAGAGAAGGGGCTGGGTACAGAGGGATACAGGGTTGAAAAGACAGGGAAACTCAGAGCATCTCTGAAGGCCAGGCTGGAAGTCCTCAAGTGTTTGGGAACAGGAGAGGGACAAGATCAGCTTTAATCCTAATGGGAGCAGGCTGAGCAGCAGTATAAATGCTAGTGGTCAGAGATTGGGAACAGAGACCCCAAGACCAGGCTGTTGCTTCATTCTAGACCAGGGATCAATTGTGCCCTGATTCCAATATTCCTTTTTCATAAGCAGGAGAAACTCTCATCAGGTGATAAAAGGCCCTCTTCAGACCCTCTCCTTGGACTTTTCCACAAGTCAGAGGCTGTCAGCACCACCATGCCAAGAAACAGTCTTCCAGACATGGTAATCAGACTTCTCTCTCTTTGTTAGGACATCATGCCTGGAGCTAGCTGATTCAGAAGTCAGTTGTATTTGACATCTTCCTCAAAGCCTAACCCATCATGAATGATTCTTGGTCCTAGGATCTATCCTGTATTTAGTCTGTTTCACCTACCATGATAAGCCTCACTGCTTGCCCTGCCTACCTCTAAATCTATTCTTTCATTTTGGATGCTCCTTGTTACACATCCAGGTACGTATCCACATGGGGTGGAGATCCTTCAGCTAAACAAAAGCATGGCTGTCAACTTCCTCTTTCCTTTCACCCACAGGGCAAAGATTACTTCTGTAAAAAAAAAAAAAAAAATTCCCCAAACACCACTTGGCCATTTATACTCCTGAAGCAATATCAGAGTTCTTATTAATTTCGTGTATTCACCCAAATCAGTCTTACTTCTGTGTGTGTGTGTGTGTGTGTGTGTGTGACTTCAACTTCATCTCTAATGAAATCCGCTTGAGGAAAAAATTATAATACATCTGCCCCTTGAAAGTGATTTGTAATTTTGCCTCAGCTTTCTTAGATTTGTAGGCTTCCTAGTTATGGATATTATTAACAAGCAGGCTGGGTTTTTTTTTCTTCTGCCACGGTTGCTATTTTGTGTCTTAGAGATGTAACCATGGGCATTCTCTTTTTTTCCCCCTTTTCCTCCCCTTTTTTCCCCTGGGTACCAGGCACATCTCAACAGGACCTACCCTCCTGTTTCATATAGTTGGAGGCTCTCCAACTATTTTAAAAGCTTTTTGTAGCATATCAAATGCACCAGGCCAAATACTTCACTTGGGATTTGTAGTAAAGGTCATAGGAATCTAGCCTGAGAAGGATAACTCTTTTCAGTAAATGCTTCTTGCCCTCCTGCTTTTCAACTTCCATACCCTTCTCCCTAAAGATAACATTATTGGTCATTTTGTCTGTTCATGCAGTGTATTCCAATCAGTTCCCATTAAGGGTACCACCTAGATTGTTGGGAGCTGTTGTGGTGGTTGTTTCCAAAATAGAATGGGAACCCTTCCTCATCCTCAACTCAGCATGGCCTAGCTCCATGAACTTGGAGCTAGAAAAATGGATACAACTTAAATACATCTTTAAAAAATAAAAAATCACTTTCTTTCAAGGACTTTCTAGAGAACATTCAGGGTTTTTTTTCCAAACCCACCTCCCCCGCTCTTGCTTTAAGGCATTGTTCTTGAAAGAACTGAATTATAACAATTTTTCTGCCAGGCAAAGCAGCTATTTTGCAGAATGTCCTGTGTCTATGAGGGAGGGAAGCAATAATTGGTAGAACCTAGATCACCTTGAAGCCTATAATTCATACTATCACAAGATCAATGCTAGAAAATTGCATTGGAAACAATAGAGGTATACAAGCAGAACACAGAAGAGGAATATTGAGCAGAAAGGGAAAAGATGCAGTGTCTTGACTTACCTTCTCAGATGGCACTGGGTGAAAAATAGAAAAAGATGAGAGTAAGGATTTTGTGGCAGAGCTTAGTGACTTAGAACTCTACCCACCAGAAAGAATCACTTATTTTGAGTTCCAGGACCCAATAGTAGAGAAAAGCCTGAAAGATGGGCTTATAGTTTTTTATCAGTGGTAACCCAGACTCAAGAAGCAGGTTTAAGTTGTATGGGCTTCTGGATATAACCCTGGAAGATCCTCGGATGTTCTCAACCCAATTACTCTATTATTTCTTTTCCAGAAAACATGTGGTTTAATTCTGTCTCTTGCAAGGAAAAAGAAAAAGCATTAATTCTGTCTTGATCTCTTGATTCAGCGTTTAGTGAAAGAACATCCTCCAGGACTCAGAGAAGCTCGTCTATCGCATGACTTCTCATCAGAAATCTCTCAAGATTCAGAAGAAGAGAGCCATTATATTAGTCCTCGGAGTATTCTTTTAGAGGTAACCTCTCCCACCCGTTAGTCGTCTATTCCTTCTACAAATATTTACTGAGCCCCTACCAGGCACTTAGATTAGGTTCCGAATCAGACACAGGTGATGTGCTCATGGGGTTGACCCTTTGATAGGAGCTAGCCAGGACACGCAACAAAAAAGTCTCTATGCTGAAGAGAGTTGCTTGTAAAATGCTCAGAGGGCCTGAGGGGTGGTAGGCAGGGGGAGCTGACTTTGAGACAGAGGCCAGGGAAGGTTCCATGGAGATGACATTTGGCCTTATATGCCAGGCGAAATTTAGACTTGAGGGATGGACCTGAGGAGTCTTTCTGCATTTTGGATAGAAACAATAAATATGAACAGACACAACAATATTCTTGGGTGAGAAACTGTGTGGTATGTACCAATCAGTATACTGATCATTGGGAAGCTCCTACTGAGTGCCTTATGTGTGCTAATCCTGTCCTGTGCTAGGCGTGGTGGCTGCCAGAAAGGACCTGATATCATGCCTGCCCCCCCTTCCCCCACCGAGCTCACAGTCTTACCAGTCTTACAGGACGATGCTCCAGCAGAGGTGTGGTCAAAGAACTCTGGAAGCAAACAGCAAGGTCCTATAATATAGCACAGGGAACTGTATTCAATAACCTGTGATAAGCCATAAAGGTAAAGAATATGAAAAAGAGCGTATTTATATAGTATATAACTGAATCACTTTGCTGTACAGTAGAAATTAACATTGTAAATCAGCTAAATGTCAATAATTTTTTTTTTTTTAAAAAAAGAGCCCTGGAAGCAATAGGAAAAAAAAAAATTTTCTGTCTCCACTGGAGTCAGGGAAAGCTTCAAGATACAGAATGGTATTTGATACATGTATGATGAATAGTTTAGATGAGCTCTAACCTAACATTAACAAGTGGCCTTTTGGGGGAAAATGCACAAAAACCAGTAAAAAGACTCAGTCAGACCATGATGGATTATGAATGCCAAGTTAACTTCATGCTACAGGCAACATAGGGGGCAGTAGCAGCTTCTCAATCAGGAAGGAGCAAAACCAAATTATCTTCTAGTACTGTTAACCCTGGGCTTCCCAGCTGGCTCAGTGGTAAAGAATCCACCTGCCAATGCAGGAGACACAGGTTCAACCCCTGGGTTGGGATGATCCCCTAGAGCAGGAAATGGCAGCCCACTCCAGTATTCTTGCCTGGAAAATTCCATGGATAGAGGAGGCTGGAAGCTACAGGCTGGGGTCGTTAAGAGTCGGACATGACTGAGCACTCACTATTAACCTAGCAGCTATATTCAAGGTGGAAAATGGAGAGAAGAGAATGGAAATAGAAGGTAGGAAGACAGAATTGGGGGGAGGGGGGCAGGAGTTCTCAAACCAGGGGGAGGGGTGTTTGCAAAATGATGACTTGTGTTCATATGAAGGAAGCATTCTGAAGTCAAGTAACTTCTAGAAACAGTAAATCAAAGTAATTTACACAAGCTTCTTTTGCTGTAGAATTCTCAGAGCCTTTAGCATGCAGTGGTGCCTTATAAACAGCCAAGCAAAACACAATGCATAGCATGTGACCACAGGACCCTGCTTTATCCCAGATTTTTTCACAGCTGTGTTCTCTGGGACACAGTGACGGCAACTAGTCTTTTCATGATGGTCAAACCAACCGGTCAGGTGATATGAACACTAAGCTATAATGTCCGGCATTTTCTAGCTACTTTATGAGATGCAAGGTCTAGTTAGGCAAATAAAACTAAGCTAGTAACTTCCCTGGCAGTCCAGTGGTTAAGACTTCGCCTTCCAGTGAAGGGAGTGTGGCTTCTATCCCTGGTCCGGGAGCTAGGATCCCATGTGCTTTGCACCAGAAAACCAAAACATAAAACAGAATCCATATTTCAACAAATTCACTAAAGACTTTAAAAATAGTCCACCTCAAAAAAAAATCTTAAAAAAAAAACCTGGAAGACCGTTACAAAAATTAAGTGCAACACTGTGCTGTAGAAGTTCAGAGAAGGGAAAGTTTGGCAGTAGTTAATGTGGTCAGAAAGACCTCAGGCCGCCTGAATACAGCATCATTAGACAGAAGGGAGGGCTTCCCGGGTGGAACTAATGGTAAAGAATCTGCCTGCTAATACAGGAGATATAAGAGACTTGGGTTTGATTCCTGGGTTGGGAGGATCCCCTGGAAGAGGGCGCGGCAAGCCACTCCAGTATTCTTCCCTGTAGAATCTCATGGACAGAGGATCCTGGCAGGCTGTGGTCCATAGGGTCTCAAAGAGTCAGACACAATAGAAGCGACTTAGCATGCACATGGACAGAGGGGAAAGGGGGCACTCCAGGCAAAGAAAACAGCATGAAATGGGCACTAGAAGCACACTGTTTGTAAGGGGCATAGTGGGAAGGCTGGCTTGTCCGGAATGAAATATTCCAATAACGGTTGATGATTTTGTAGGTAGGCCTACAAAAAATCAAAAGCCCTTAGGAAATTTTGAGGAACCATTGCCCCAAATGACTCAATTTTGACCACCTTGGTGGGGAGCCCCCAGAGGGCAGTATTTTCTAGGACCTTCACAGCCCCTTGAAGCAATTTGTCTGCCTGTGAGCAGAGTAGCCTGCTCTCTACAGAGAGAGGCCAGCCCTGCGTTATATCAGAGTCTTTGACCCAGGTGATATTATTCTATAATAGCACCAGTTGGGAGAAAAAGAGTTCATGTCATTAACTGCCTAGTGATGAAACGAAAAAATAAATAGCAATTTAGTCCAGTAGTGCACTTGTATCAGGAGTGTGGGGAACCCAAGAGAAGAAAACAGACTGTGAGTCTGCAGAAACTTTGCTGGATCATTCTCTCAGAACGAGCACCACTGTTCATTCAATGGTAGAGGTACTTATGGTTTCAGGGACCAGAGCCATCAAGAAGGGGGCAACAAGGTACCTGGCTTATTGGTAGACTTGCATCCTTATGTCTCTGCCTGTTTTCTTTAGCTGGATAATATTATTGCTGCCAATGATTCTGGGGAACTCACTGTCCCCATTGGACCTCGTGGTCCAGACCAGGTCTCCAAGACAGCTGAGCGTCGTTACGTGTCAATGAAATCCTGGTAAGTAAAACTGCCATACTCTAAAATTTGCCCTTAGCTAATGTACTGTTCCAGAACAATTGCTGTCAGTTCGTTTAAAGGATTGATGTAATAACACAAATGCATTACCATAGACCAAGTTCAGCATATTATTCATCTCAAAACAAGAAAAAGTGAGAATGTTTTCCCTACCTATAGAAAACGCTTAGAAAAAAAGAAAAAAAAAAGAAAACGCTTAGTCACATTCTTGGGACATTTTCTGTCTTGTGGGGAATTTCTTTCCTATTTTGCATTTACATCTCTCACACTCTGACTTCTGTCTCCAAACCGTCCCAATGTAAAGAGCTATTTTGATTCCATATCCATTAGAAGGAAATTCTATTGGATTTAATTCTGACTGTGGTTGGGATTCTGCTGGTTGGATATACTTCAAAACACTGTTAATTTTTACACGGCTGTTAGCTACTTAAATCTGATTCACACACCATGGAAAGTTGTAGACAGACATGCTGAAAAAGCTTTTGTGTTAACTTCTTATGCTCTAGTCTTCTCAAAGAGCTGTCCCTGGAGTCTGTTGATGGCAAAGAGGAATTTCAGCCCCTGGCAGAGATCCAGAATGGGGAGCTTCATCAGCAAGAACAAGCCTTGGGAACTCACTTCTATCTTCCACCTGCCAATTCCGAAGCACGGACCACGATTGACACAAAGCAGTCGGCCTCACTAACTGTTGTGCAACTGTCTATATTAATCAAGTAAAGTCTTCATTTCTAAAACTTTATGGGCCCATAGAACAAGGCAAACTTCCTTTTGTACTCAGAATTCACATTTTCAAGCAGTTCCTAAAAATCTCCAACTCGGCCAAGAATCTGACCTTGGCCTTGTCCCTGAAATGGTGGTCAAGGACAGTAGGTGCCAGAGCTAGGACTACAGTGGTCCCTGGGCAGCAGGGGGCACTTTCAAATACTTCAAAAAAATTCTCTGTTAGCTGGGCTTTCAGATCCTGGAATTTTGGATCTTTCTGATCAGGTTAGCACATCACCCAGATTTTACTATTAAAATTACGGGCATGCAAGCCATGTCATGTTTGGTTATAGACTAGGAGGGGGGAACAATTAGGTTTTAAATGACGCCAAGAACATTTGATGAGATTGTTCTCAATTTTAACTCTTTCTGGTGTCTCCTTCAGTGGAGAAATGTACAATCTGATGTGATACATAATGGATTTAGTCCAATTTTTACTTCTTTTTCATTGTCTACCATCATTAACCCATTCCAGGAGGGATGAGGGAGGGCATTAATGAGGACTTAAATATATGTTCTTCTCCAAATGTTTTAGATAATCTTTAACTGGACAATACCGTCTTAGGTGTCAGAGGCCAAAGTCCAGTCAGAAAGTACAGATCAGAGCCTGTGATGGCTGCCTGATTTTTGCAAACATCTTATCTTACAGTAATATCATGGATGAAAGCCAAGTGCAGAAACTGAACGTGTTCCTTTCTCCTCCTGACATCAAAAATTATCTTGTTCTCAAAGAAGCTGCAGGACAGATATGGTAGGTAGGAGATTTGAAGGTTATTGATTATAAACGGGGTTGGATGATATGAAAACAAGAATTATATCTTGAACTACTGTACATTTCAAAACTGCCTGGAGAACTTGGACTTGCGTCGCTGTTGTTGTGCATGCGTGCTGAGTCCCTTCAGTCATGTCCGACTCTGTGCAAACCTGTGAACTATTGCCTGCCAGGCTCCTCTGTCCATGGGATTCTCCAGGCAAGAATACTGGAGTGGGTTGCCATACCTTCCTCCATGCTGTTGTCACAAAGGGTCTTTGATTGAGAATATTGTTGTATAGGAGAGTCAGCTGAGGGTGGGTCAGTATAGAAGGACCCAAAATTCCAGGAAACAGTAAATTTCTGCTGTTTTGAAATAAGCAGGGATATGTATGGTCCAAGGAAACCATTGCCAATCAATGATCAGTGATTATTTTATAAATGAATGACGTTACTGAGGTCAACAAGAATCTAAGATCTAGAAGAAAACGGCATGCCAGGGTAGAAGATGTCCAGACATCAGCTAAACACCTGCTGGTCAGGAAACTCAGACACAGAAGACTGTGTGGCAGAGAATTTCCTTAGAATGACCACTGTTTGTGTGACTCTATATTCTTTTTAACACTCTGTAACTCATTTTGACGGAAGATGATTTTATAAGGGAAAAAAGCTTGTTAACATAAACATCACATATCAACTGTCTTATAATTTTATTAGAGGGCAGGAACCATAGCTTGCCATTTTTCCAGACTTACCACAATCCCAGGCTCAACATAGTATTTGACAGGAACTATAGACTTCTGTGTCTGAGCTTGCTCATCTGTTAATTCATTTACATGCCCATTAGCTATTCATTGTGTAATCATTGTGTGCCCACTTTCAATAAATACTTAGCATCTTCTGTTTATAGGATTATAAAAAATATTTTAAGGGTGGTACCATATGCCTAGAGTCTCAAAGCCTGGTGGAAAAGACAGCTACATAAACAAGTAAATATAAAATAGCATTTTATTTAAATATACAATAAGTGAGGGGCTCACACAATACAATAGAAACCCAGAGGCAGGAGAGATTAATTAAGCTAAAGGAAGTGTGATGAGGGCTTTGTAGAGGTAGCATATTGGAGTAGGATTTTGGAGGAAGGTTCAGGCTGGTAGAGTAATGATAAGGAAAAAATATTCCAAATAGAGAAAGGAGTTTGATTGTTCCAGATATGGTGAAACACAGCTAAAGAAATTAGTAACAGTAGTGGTAGAATAGACTAGAGTGAGGAGCCCAATCTGTGTCCCCATCTGTGCCCGGCATTCCCAGTGGGCACCGTCTCACGCTTGTGTTGGATGCTGTACCCTCATTGCAGTGTGGCTCAGTGGGATGCGCCCCCGCATCTGGGATGCTTGTTTTTTCATGGAGATCACCTTTTGGCCGTGAATGACCTGACGCCCCAAAGCCTAGAGGAGGTCTCCTTGTTTCTCAGCCGGTCCATCCAGAGGGAGGTGAGTGTTGCTGATTGGCTCTGGCCAGGGCAAGAAGGAACAAGATCAAGGCCTTGGTTGGCATCTGAACAATACTCTGAAGACAAATGAGATGTTTCGGTCCTCAGCTGCCGAATGGAAATAAGAGAATCAGAAGTGTAAACAACACTTCATACTATATATCTAAATAATAAGAATGTTATTTTAGGACCCTTTTAAAATTCTTTCGTATAAAGTAGTATTTGGAGGGAGCCCTGGGCTAGGAGACTGAAACAGCTGGGTTCAAGACCTCAGACTCAGCATGACCTGGCAAAAAAAGAGCTTGCAGGGAAGTCAGACAGGCTTTACATCCCGCCTCCTTCAACCAAATGGTGCTTCAATTTTCTCTTCTGTGAAATTAGGGATAATGGTAATACTAATTGGGCTTCCCAGGTGGTGCTATGGTAAAGAACCCACCTGCCGATGCAGGAGATGCAGGAAACACAGTTTCAATCCCTGGAGTAGGAAATGACAACCCTCTCCAGTATTCTTGTCTGGAAAATACCATGGGACAGAAGATCCTGGCAGACTACAGTCCATGGGGTCACATGTACATATATCCTTAAAAGGCTCATCATGTTTCTACCTATTAGTAAGTCCCAGTATCGTTATCCCTTTCCTGGTCTTATTTTATTTTTGATGAGCCACGTGACCTTGGGAAAGTCACTTCCTTCTCTGACAAGTGAATTTGAGTTTCTTCTCTCTAAAGTGAGAGACGGTTGATTTTCAAACTGTACTTCTTGGAAACCTGAGACAAAGACAGGAGGAGAGGGGAGGAGAGGGACAGTGTTCAGGACCTCAACTAGAGAGAGTAGGGTATATTTATCATTACTTTTTCATGTTTGAGTTTCCTGTTACCTTTCCTTGAGGAAATAGTGACTTGGCTTAAAATTTCTAAAAACTGCTCTATTGGAAGATCTCTCAAATTTCTTCCAGCTCTGAGAGTTTATGATTAAATATGTCTTATCTCGTCTGCATCACACAATAACCTTGCTGGTTAGACAAATTGTACTGCCCCTACTGTCTAAATGGGGAAACTTAGTAAGAATGAGTGAGTTGTCTACAATACATAAATCGTTAGTGTTAAAGCAAGGACTCATTCATTCCTTCATTCATTTGCTCACTCGCCATTTATTGAACATCTATTGTATGCTGAATTCTCTGCTAGGTCCTAGAGCTACAAAAATGATCTTTGAGTTTAAGGAGCTTGCAGATTAGTGGATAAAACAAGTATGTGCTAGTTACAGGTACAGTGTGTGCCTTGAGATATGAGCAGAGGGCCATGGGATCACAGAGGAAAAATGAAGTTAATCTACTTGAGGGAGGCCAGAAAGATGTCTCAGAGAAAGGGATGCTTGACTTGTGTTTTGAAGCCTAGGATAGGAGTTTGTGTGGTGGAAAAAGAGGGAGCTTTCAGGAGTCCAGCCCAACAATCTAGTAACTGTGGTGTATTTCCTCTGCCAAAAACCCACACTGGGGCCAAGTGTTTAATATAATCTTCTGAAAGTTACCAAACAACACTCTCATCCAGAGACCCAGGCATCAGCTCCGAAGCCAAGAAAAGGGTTTTTGCCTGGGAGCAGATCCAGGAACTCCACCTGGGCATCGCTGACTGCAGTTTATCAAGACTGCCTTCTACACTATGCACTCACTTGCATAAGAGTGGCAGACAACGTTTGTTTTGGGCCCATTCTGCCTCCTCACTTTCTCCTGTGTTCTATTGGGAAATACGGGGTGTTCACTGACATGATTATTGGAAGATCAAAAAATTCCCCAACTTGCTCACCCCACCATTCCTGCTCTATTTCTTTATGTTAAAAATGAATACCCGGTCCTTTCTAAAATTCAAATAGCTGGTCTCTGGAAGGAAAATAATGTTGGAAGAGGGGACATGTGGAACCAAAACTGTGTATGTGTGTGTGTGTTAGTCTCTCAGTCGTGTCTAACTCTTTGCAACACCCTGGACTGTAGCCCTCCAGGCTCCTCTGTCCACGGAATTCTCCGGGCAAGAATGCGGGAGTGGGTAGCCATTCCCTTCTCTGGGGATCTTCCCAACAGGGATCAAATCTGGGTCTCCTCCACTGGCAGGCAGATTCTTTACCCTCTGAGCCACAAGGGAAGCCTAGAGGGGGTAGTCAAAGACTGATAATGTTTTAGAATAGTTGAACCAGGCAGATGCATATTCCATCCTTGAGAAAGGAAGTTGATGGAAATAGGAATTTGGGGTGAGCAAGGGCTGGGGTCGGGGAGGGGAGAGAATGTGTGAGTGTAGAAGGGGAGGAGATGCTAGATTGCAGAAAAAACACATAGAGCTTTAGTTTCCTCTCAATTTTGTCAGAGGCTGGTCCTGTCTAGTGGTCTTATTTGGATGCTCTGGTTACAAGAGGCTTTTTAATTCTTGGTACAAATGGGCATTTCTGGGCAGGGTTAATGTACTCTGATTGTGTGTGTGTGCTCAGCTGCCCAGTGATGTCTGACCTTTTGTGACCCCATGGACTGTAGCCCCCAGGTTCCTCTTGTGGATGGAATTTTTCAGGCAATAATACTGTAATGGGTTGCCATTTTCCTCCTCCAGGGCATCTTCCCGACCCAGGGATCGAACCCGCATCTCTTGTATCTCCTGCATTAGCAGGCAGATTCTTTACCACTAGCACCACCCAGGAAACTCCAATGTACTCTGGAATCTGCCCTGAAGTCTCAGGCCAGTGGAGGCCAGAGAATAAAAACCCATCTTCCCCCTGAATATATAAGGTCATCCTGGCTTTTTCCTGCCCAGATTTTCTTCGAACCCAGCTTCACAGGGTGTGAATGAGGACAGACTGAAATTGAGAATCAGCAGTCCTAAGGATAATCTTTAGCCATTTAATGTTCCTCTCTCTTGTGTTTTAGAAAGTAAAACTCACCATCGGTCGTATCCCAAATTCAGAGAAATTTCACACAAGAGCCTGTACATGCTCCTTAGAAGACCAAGGTGTTAAACCTTCTCAACTGGTTACATCCTCACTGGAGAGGACACTGAAAAGGACTCCAGCCATTAAAAAGGGTCAGCAGGAAAGATCTGGAGAGTAATGTGCTGGGGCCCACCTCCATCAAGCCAGGACAGGCTTTGGACTTTGTGCTGGTCTCTGCCCCTCACCACTGTGTGACACCAGGCAGTCAGCACACCTCTGAATTTTTCCATCTGCATCTTAACAATGGAAATAACCCTCCCCTCTCTGGCTTTTGCATCAGGGATGCTGAGAGGTCCAAATGGAATAATGTCTATGGAACCCAGTGAACATGTAAGGCCTTGTTATCTCAGACTTTGTCCCAAACACCACAGACAGAGATTGGGTAAGCTTCTCATCTAAAATACACTGTGTGTTCTGTGAGGTCATGGTCCACACAATCTCTTCTTTGTTAGGGAATGGACAGTTGGAAATACTCATTCCGGGAAGCCAAGTTTCCCCAGGGAGATGTGATACCATGTCGGCCTTCCCAGACACCTCCTGCTACTCATCATGTCCAGAATGTTGAGACATCAGTGGCCTCTTGGATTCAATGATCGTCTTGTTTTCTTAAAGACTCAGGAAGAATTTTAGAAGTCAAAGCAGTTTGAAGGTTATATCTAGCAAAGTTTGCATGTTCTACAAGTACTAACAGAACTGCGTAGCACTTGCAAGTTTGAAGGGTCTAAACTAATTGATGAGCTTCCTAGGTGGCGCTAGTGGTCAAGAACCCACCTGCCAATGCAGGAGACATAAGAGACTCGGGTTCAATCCCTGGGTCAGAAAGATTCCCTAGGGGAGGGCGTGGCAACCCACTCGAGTATTCTTGTGTGGAGAATCCCATGGACAGAGGCGCCTAGTGGGATACCGTTTATAGGGTCTCAGAGTCAGACACGACTGAAGCGACTTTGCACGCATACAACTAATTGATGCATTAACTCATTGATCCTGAAAGGCAGGAAGTATTTATTCTCATAAATAAGAAAACAAATGCAGAGGACTAAAAAGGATGAATCAAATCAAGGAATGGTAGAGCAAAAGAAGCCTTTGGAAAATAGATCTTACTGGGTTGCTGTTTTACACAGAAAGATATAAAGGCCTCCAATGTTTACTGATGTATTTTTTTTGTGGCTCCTGGTTTCATAGCTATTTAGTGGCAGAACCAAGAATCTAAGAGCAGATCTGGCGATGTCCTGATCCTCTCTTTGGACTGGAGTTTATATTTGAAAAGACCTTCTGCACATAGATAGAAAGCACTGATGGCTCAGACAGTAAAGACTCTACCTGCAATTCAGGAGACCTGGGTTTGATTTCTGGGTCAGGAAGATCCCCTGGAAAAAGGAATGGCAACCCATCCCAGTATTCTTGCCTAGAGAATCCCATGGAAGAGGAGCCTGGTGGGCTACTGTCCATGAGGTCACAAAGAGTCGGGCACAACTGAGTGACCAACACTTCCAGCACATAGATGAGACACTCAAATACAGTTTATTTTCAGTCATCTAGATTGTATAGAAAACTATTAAAATTTTTATTCATATGCCCTATTGGATCTACTGTTTCTTTCTCTATTTTTGTAAAGCTCTATTGGAATTAAGACTCTACATTTTTTCCAGTTTTATTGAGATGTAGTGGACGTATAACATTGTACTAGTTTAAGGTGTACTGTATAATGATTTGATATGTGTATATTGACCTACTGTTTCCACTCCTAGAAATTTATCCTATGGAAATGCTCACACAAATACACAAAGATATCCATTAAAAAGTTGTTCACAGTAGCACCGTTTGTTACAACGCAACGGAAATCCTTTGGGAATTGCTTGATTATAATGACTTCATGTAAGTGAATGTTCTGTGGATGTTCGAAGTTTCACATTTATGATTAGGAAAGATGTTCATAATACCTTAAGAATGAAAGGAGCAGGTTGCAGTACAGTAAGTAGAGCATCATCACACTTTTAAAAAAATGATTGGTGTTGGTATATGTAACATTTCCCCAACTCTAATTAGGGAGAGAAATTCTTACCTTGCGGGTGTTGTTGTAAGGTTGAAATGGATGGTCTGCATACAGCACCTGACACATTGCCTGACAGGGAGTGAGCACTTAGTAAAGATTAGTTCTGCCACTGCTGCTCAGACAATCATTGTTTTTTTTTTTTTTGGTCTTCTTAGAAGAACACACATCTAATTGTCAATAAGAATCATCTCTGAGAAGTATGATCACAGTTGGCCATCGGGGGGAGGCATTTCTGTAATGTTTGAATTGCTCTCTCTCCTTTTTACTATGAGCGTATGTCATGTTTATAATGAAAAATAAATACAGGTGTAGTAAATAAATAATATATGTATTTAAACATATTTATGTATTAAACCTTCATAAGTAGAAATCAAGCCATCTTACTGAAGGAATTAAAAAACCATCAAGATAAAACTGTCTGGGAATCAACAGTAGGGGCGGATACACTGCTTTGAAGCCCAGAAGTCCTTCTTCCGTCCTTCTTTTGCCCAGACATTTAAACTCAGATGAGACGGATGGACAAGCCTTAGCTCACAGGCCCTTCAGCCTCCCCCCCCACTGCGGGGAAGAAGAGCCTGAAGACAGGCACTGACGTGTCTGTGTGGCTCCCAGAAGTGCCGGGAGGACTCAGGACTCCTGGCTGCCGGTCCACCCTCTTCCCTGAACCACGAGGGAGGCGAGCCTGCTCCCAGCACTCTCTTCCTACCAAAACATTCCTCCTGAAGCCGAACCAGCTGCGGTACTTGTCATGAAGATTCTGCTCTAGGGGCTTCCCCCACATGAATGGCTTTGCTCCCCCAAAGGAAGTCTCAGGGCAGATTTCAAGGTGTCCCCCAACCCAAAGATTCTGATGCAGTAGTTCTGGTATGGGGTCCTGGAATCTGCCATTCTGGGGTGACCAGATGGCCGGTGCGCCAGGGGGAGCACTTTGAGGGAGCGTCATTTCCCTGGGTCACAGGGAGAGGCCTGTGTATCTTCTGAGAGGCTGCAGAACTCGGAACCTGTACAAGGATGACATTAAAGGGAGAGTGTCCTTCATTTTTGACAGCTCTGGAAGAGGCTGATGATAAACCCCCATCTCTTCCCCTCCAGGAAAGAACCTGTTCCTGAAGAGAGAAGCCTGGTTTCCACTCTTGGCTCTCTGCCACCGGGGAGTGTCATAACCAAGGCCTGGAAGAAACGGCCTGTAAAGTCCTTGTACGCCACTGGGAGGCGGGTGAGGTGCGGAAGCTTTAGGATGGAGAGGAATGTGGCATGGGGCTGCAGGCTGCTCCTCATCCAGTCTCATTCCTTCCCAGTGCGGGAAGCCAGCTCCTCTTTCCCAGGACTTAATCTATGTCCAGCCATGGCTCTTCTTCCTCCTAACAGTGGTAGTGGTCCCAAGGAAAGCTGGTGACTGAACTGGCCCCAAAGCCTGCCGATGTCCCAGCGCCCAGCTTTGGAGTCTTCCGTGACTCAGCAAAGAGCACTGTAGGACAGCCTGTGGATGGGTGGAGGCAGGTCTGAGGCCAAGGCTGAAAGGACATGTGCCTCCGAGAAATAGAGTTCGTGAGAGCAGAGAGGGTAGGACAGACCCTTCTCCCGCTGCGCGTCCCGAGCCATGTCCACAGCCATCCTGGGTACACAGAGCCCTCTGTGACCTTCCCCTTCCAGACCTGCCCTTGATGTTCATGCCACCCGATTCCAGGGGATGACCAGAGTGAAGGTGGAGCGGAGGGCTGCAGAGTGATGGAGCCAACTGTCCCTGCAAGGGAGAGCCCTGTTCTGGGTGTGTCTCTGGAGGAGAGGTGGTAACAAGAATGGATTATAAGCTAGCCTTGGAGACTTTCCTGGTGGTCCAGTGACTAAGACTCTGCACTGCCAATGCAGGGGGCCCGGTTTGATCCCTGGTCAGGGAACTAGATCCCAGATGCCAAAACTAAGACCTGGTGCAACTATATATGTTTCTCAGTGTGTGTGTGTGTGTGTGTGTGTGTGTGTATAAATTTAGTCCTGGCCATCATACAATCTAGGTCCAAATCTGGTGCAGTCTTGCTGGGGAAGAAACCAGACCAGGCCATGCACAGAGACTTACCTGAGCTCCCCAGCTCTGTGCAGTGCCTCCAGCTCCCAGATCAACATCTTTTCTGCACTTGTTCAACTTTCCAGCAGGGCATTTGGAGCTGCCACCTCTTGGCCACTCCATTTTGCTAATGGTTGCCTCATGTCTCTAGAACAAGCCCCAGAGGGTGCCTGTCTCTTTCCACTTTGTTCTTTCTGCTGAGGACACAAACTATTCAGAGTGAAATCTGAACAGCAGCTGGTAAGATATGCAATGAACGTGCAGAGTCAAATGCATCCATTCCAACGCAAAGCTGCTGACACGTGAGCATGGATTCCAGAAAGGCGTTCATCATTAGGTAGAGGGTGAACTGCTGTGCTCTTCAACAGATGTGTGTGTGTGCACATGTGTGTGTGTGCATGTGTGTGTGTGTGCGTGTGTATGTGTGCATGTAGATGGCAGGGATGGAGCCAACAAGGAGGGAGTAACAATAACTCTTTAAGCAGCTGAGAAGCTAAAGCCCTACAATCGTCCCACCCCTCCCCTTTCTCTTCAAGACTTGTGTCAAATACTTTCTCTTGGGATGATAAGGAGAATTTAAACTATCATAAACAGGCCCAAGGGAGAAGGCTTTCAGATTCAGAAGCTGGATTAACTCAGGGTTCTTTGGTGAAGTTGAATTTACAGATAGGCAAAACATGTGCTTGTTGATGAAGTATTTGTCTAACGAGCAAGGATCTGGAAAGACTTTGGGAGCCATTCTCAATATCAACTCTGGCTAGATGGCTCTGGAAATCTATGGGTTTAAGTGAATTTTGCATTCACAGTACTGAACTTGGAGCTAGGCTGCCCAATTCAGTAGCTGCTAGCCATGTGTGGCTTAAAATTTTTAAGCTACCAAGGCTAAATGAAATTTAAAATTTGGTTTTTCAGTTGTACTCGCTACGCTGGAATTATTTGGTAGCCCTGCATGGTAAGTGGCTACAAACAGATATCAGAGTATTTTCATCACTGCAGAAAGTTCTAGTGGACAGCCCTGATCTAGAATGTATGTTAAACCCTTCAGAGGGGAACAATGCATATTTGCCTTGCTCAGTACCATATTTCTAGCACATAAGTACAGTGCACTGTGCACAATTAGTGCTAATAACATTTATATCAAGGGACTTCCCTGGTGGTCCAGTGGTTAAGACTCCAGGCTTCCAATGCAGAAGATGCGGGTTCAATCCCTA